TAATACTCACTCCTGTAGCTTAGGTCCGGTGTACTGGTCAGAGAAATGTATGTAGTCGACCATTTCTGTAAAATTCCGCAGTATTGCCATCATCTGTGGAAGCAAGCAATGAAGTGCGTGTTACCACGAGCGGAAACATGCGCATGCAGTACATCGCTGCTCGATATGAAAGCGTGTTTACACCTTTCCGGCGACGTAAGAATATGTCTTCAATGACAGACAGTTTCACGTTTATATTAGATTTGAGGAAATGTTTCAACTGGTTAAAAGGCAGTCATGTTTGTGACATGGTCACAACTGCAGGCAATGCAACAAGACCTCAGAAGCAAATCATACGTATGCCTTCCTGATGTTAATGCTGTAACCATGCCGAGCGTTGCAAAGTCACCCAATTTTACATGTCAACATGACTGGGCCACTTCGGAAATTACTTGATAAACACTGTGACGGTTCGCAGCAAAGATTGAAGTGAAGTCAGGGAAGAATGAAACCCCAATAACGAGTGAAAAAGAGGGAAGCGAGTGAAAGCATGAACAAGGGAAGCCACGAGCGCAAGTGAAAGCAGGGAAGGTGAGAAAGGAAGAGTGAGGGTCCTCGAAGTGAGTGACAGCAGGGAAGAGTGCAGGTCTTAGAAGTGAGTGAAAGCAGGAAAGAAGGAAGGCACTGTCAGCGAGTGCCAGCATTGAAGTGTGAAGCCATGAGAGCGAGTGCAAGAAGAAGGACTGCACTGCGAGTTGGGAGTCTGCTGCATATCACGTGAGTCATATACCTTGCCATCCAGCATGGCTGTCGTAGCCTCCCCGATCTCACTAAGCAGCACAAACTGTGACGGTAGGCCGAGCTTTTCACCAGCTTTCTTCTCTGTGCAAAATTGACTCTGTAATCACAAAACACACGGTGTCCAAACACGTGTCTCCATCCCACATGCGTTGCTAATCGTCCCACTTAACCTATTGTCTACCCAGCTACAACCCCACTTCAACTTCCCCGCCACTGCTTATACAAACGATCACGGCCCGCTCTATTTGTAACCTTCCAGCTAACTGCCTGACTCTACGAAATCCCACGCTTCCAAAACCCCATATGTGCAACATGTCCAACACATTACAGTCACACTGATTACAGTGTCATGACACAATCGTTCACGGCCATGGATGGAGGGAGTGGTATGTAGTGAAATGTCTCACTGACTCTCCTCGACGTTGACTGAACCAAGAGTACCGAGCTGCGAATCTGTTTCGCGTGATGCGCTTTGTAGGTGTTAGATTACATAAATTAGATAACAGAGAATGGCACGCACATACCCACATATGCACGCACACGAGAAAATAAACATACCAAGTCCGCTTGGTCTTTATGAATGCGTGTTGCCGTACGCTTTTGCGCCACCGCAAATACAAATGTGTCCATGTTGTCAGCGTCCATTGTCACCTTGACCATCTGCGAAAGCAAACACATTTTTGCTTTCAGAGGAGAAACTTCTTTCGTCAAGATCGGGTTTTCTAGCAATTTTACTGAACATTGACAGAACCAAGAATACCGAGCTACGAATTTGTTCTACATGATGCTTTGTAGGTGTTATGTGATAGGATCAAAGCTTAGATAACAAAGAATGACATACACTCTTGGAGAAAGAGCATGGATACACGCACGCAGACATGGATACACACGCGCACACACGGATACACGCGCGCACACACGGATACACGCACACACACATGAATACACGCACGCACACGTGGATATATGCATGCACACACACGAATACACCCACGCACACATGGATACATGCACACACACACACACACTTACAATCTGGTCACACACGGGCCGTAGTAACCGCGATATGACGCTGATCAGGTCCTGCCGCTTGAGAAACTTTAGTTCGACAAGCATGCCCTCGCAGCACGTGCGGCCGCTACACCACAGCATGTATGTATTCTCTGATTCCTTCAGCATCTCTCCCTGAACCGGCTCCGTGGCAACACCATCATCGCCTAAAACAAGCGTAAAATCCCGACTCTGCGTCATTCCACGATAATCAATACTCGATACCAGGACTAATGACGTATCGGCAAAATTAGTCATATTAGTTTATATAATTTTAACGCTGAAGTAATAGACATACTGGGGGCCGTTGTCAGAAACGTCGTAAAGTTATTGCTAATGTTAATGCTAAGATAACACTTACGACTAATGTTAATGTTACGAGAGGACACATCGCAGCTATTAGAAAACTTACGATAACAGGAACTTCATAACAAGGCTGCTGATTGGATGAGAATCGATCACAAAATTCAAATTCATACACATTTATTGTATATCACAGTAATTTATGCATATTATGATGGCTAACCACATATGTAAATAATATTTGATGAAAAACGACGCGTTCATGAATTTATTCTGCACAAGAAAAATTCTTACACTGTAACACGAGACGCGAGAGTCGTGGCAAGTGGCAGAGTCATTTAAAACAAGAGAACAAATGCCATACGCCATTTGTAAAAGTTTTGTTTTATGATCGGTAGATAATTAATATTTTTGACGTGTTTTTTTTAAGAAAAACACACATTTTACTCATTATTATAAAATATAATATCACTATAATTGTAATTCGTAGTGTAAATGTGTTATTTTCATCTTAATATTAAAGTTACGAGAGGGTCTGGGCTCTCGTAATGTTAAGAGGATATTTTCGAGGATTTTTCGTTCTCGTAACTTTACGATGTTTCTGTCATCGGTTTACGAGTGGAAGTTAATGTTAAGACTAATGTTAAGACTAATTTTGTTTCTGACAACGGGCCCCTGAATTCCAATTTACAACATGTTAAACTTCTTACCGACTAGCTTGAAATTTGCCTCTAGCAGCTCACGATGCGCAGTGAACCAGGCATTCGCAAGTCTCTGGTTCTTGCTCTTTCCTGCGAGGAAATTGAGGAAATAGACGGCTAAACCAACCAGCATTAGAATCTCGACGTAGAAGCTGTCCCAATTTGTTCGCAGGTGCAAGGGGATCTATAAAAAAGGTACACAGAGACAAGCATTACAGCATTTAAAATCTTGGATAAAAAACATCACACTTGGTTCAATATGAATGAATGAGGTAAGTGTGAATATGAGTAAGGTATCAAGATTCATCATACGAGTAAGTGTAAATATGTGTAACCTATAGATTTAGTGTAAAAGATTTGAGGAAATAACATGACTGAAAATTACTACTGAAATTATTTAATTACGTTAGTGATTTTGAGGTCAGGAGTATCTTGAGATTTTGCTCTTCCCGGAGATGATTTGACATCCTTGTCAAATCCTTCAAACTCCTCCTCATCCGTGAAATGTTCAAATTCATCATCTTCTTCATCCTTAAATGTAAAGACTGCCTGTCATAGTTCAGAATATTATATAATAGTAATAATTGTGAAATATATTTCCTGAGCCAAACTAGTTCAATACTCTGCAATTGGTGCAATAGAACATTTTTTAACAAAATTTCAGATCCACTTAATAATTATCGACCAATTAATTTGCACTAATTATCATATGTATAAACAAACCTCTACAACTCCTTCATGATCATCTTCTTCTTCCTCCTCCTCCTCTTCCTCTTCTTCATATTCTTCATCATCATCATCAGTTTCTGATTTCTCTACAGACTCCCTTTTCGTTGTTTCTCTTGACTCTTTGGGTTTGTCGAGAAATTCGTCATCCTCGTCATCAAACTCTTCAAATTCAGCAAACTCATTGTCTTCAATTTCTGCTCCGTGGTGATTAGCTGATTGCACGGCAGCTATTGCTACCAGCAACAGTAGCCAGACTAATATGCCCCTCATTTTACAAACGTACCTGCAACGTAATAATTCATATAATCTAATTGACTAATTCGATACAAATATTAATTTCGCACAAAAAAATTCTTACACGCAGCTGCAAGACTTTATAGTATATATACTACCAGTACCAGTAGAGTCTAGAGAGCTACAAATTACAATTAATTAACGATCACTGCTTTTGCTGTGACAATGACCAGACAGATCGGTACACCGACAACATTACTCATCACACGCTCACAATGAGCAATTATCAAAACATTCAGTCGCGATTACATTACTT